GAATATCCTTGCTAAGGTAGTTTACAGTAGAATATCCTTGCTAAGGTAGTTTATAGTGAAGTATTCTTGCTAAGGTAGATTACAGTAGAATATCCTTGCCAGTTTAGTTTATTTGTAGCGGAACATTCTTGTAATAGCAGCTTACAGTGTAGCGTTCATGACAAAGTAATTTACAGCAGAGTTTCATTGCTAAAGTATTTAACAGTGGAACTTCTACGACAAAGCAGTTTACAGCGGAATTTCCAAGCTAAAGTAGTTTACACTGGAGCTTCTATGACAGATTAGTTTACAGCGAAGTTTCCATGCTAAAGTAGTTTACAGTGGAGCTTCTATAGCAAAGTAGTTTACAGTGAAGCTTCTATGACAGATTAGTTTACAGCAGAGTTTCCATGCTAAAGTAGTTTACAGTGGAGCTTCTATAGCAAAGTAGTTTACAGTGAAGCTTCTATGACAAAGTAGTTTACAGTAGAGCTTATATAGCAAAGTAGTTTACAGTGGAGCTTCTATGGCAAAGTAGTTTACAGTGAAGCTTCTATGACTGTAAACTACTTTGTAGAGCTTATATAGCAAAGACTTTTGCCATAGAACTCCACTGTAAACTACTTTGCCATAGAAGCTCCACTGTAAACTACTTTGCCATAGAAGCTCCACTGTAAACTACTTTGCTATAGAAGCTCCACTGTAAACTACTTTGTCATAGAAGCTTCACTGTAAACTACTTTGCCATAGAACTCCACTGTAAACTACTTTGCTATAGAAGCTCCACTGTAAACTACTTTGCCATAGAAGCTCCACTATAAACTAAGTTTACAGTGAAGCTTCTATGGCAAAGTAGTTTACAGTGAAGCTTCTATGAAAAAATAGTTTAAAACATTAAACATTGACAATCTTTTATTCACTCTACAAAACACAAATTGAAAACTAGTAGCGATAAACAATTAAGCGTGTGAAAAGGAGAAACATAAAAATCAAACAATTGCTTAAACAATGTACATCTATGAAAATCAATATCAATGAAATATATAAATTACTTAGTTGCTTTAGACTATCAACAATGCTATACAGAATTGTGCAAAATAATTGATTTTTATATTTACGTTTAAACACCTAGTATAATATTTTTAAATTGTAACTTAAATTTCGTTATTTCCTTTGTTATCTCTGATAGCATAAAGTGTTTTATTTAATATTTTCACTCCTACATAACTTATTGATCGTCGACTTATTGATTTATGAAATAGTGGTACGTGTAAATCTTTATTAATCCTTGTTTCATAACAATGTATTTATTTCTTAGTTTTCAGCAGACTTAAAAACCAGGGTATATTAATTATTCAATTTTTCATGTTATACATATTATACGTAACAAGTATGTATACATTTTATAAATGTTTAATATATCAATTTTAAGAAACAGCTGTTAAAAAACAAACAAACAAAATATTGGGAATTTAAAAATCTGCAAATAGGGATCATAAAAAAAGTAAGGAAACAGGGTTGGAGATACTATAGATATTATTTACTCAAACTACAAACCCCTATTTTGGCTCCATACTGTTAAATAGAATTACATTGGTGGAGTCAAAATGGGGATTTGTAGTTTGAGTAAATAATGTATGCAGTATCTTCAGCCTTGTTTCTTTACTTCTATTTGGAGGTTTTTAAATTCCCATTTTTTATTTATCTTGTTTGTTGGCTTTTTTATGCTCAACTATGGGCAAAGGATTACTTAATTTCGTAGCTACCTTATATATTGTAATTATAATAAACATAGCTAGCAGATAGCTGACACGGTTCATGATGATTTACTGTAGCTATTAACTATTTGATCGCATTAGTGCGAGATGTAAAATATTAATTTGCAGCTGGAGATTGACATGAAGATTTGTGTGAAAATATAGTGAGCATTTATAGTTTCTGTGTAACTAAATTCCCTGTATATAATAGATAGCAATGGGCAAATATACGCCTAGACTAAAACACAACCCTTACTAAGTACGTATAAAATTTAACCAGTAAAAATGCAGCCTTTTCAAATAACACGTATATGTCTAAAACATTTCTTTAAATAAACCTTCGTGTCTTCACTTCATACATAACATAGGGGTTGGCTCCTCAAAGACACTGACTGTCTAGTGTACAAAGCATTGAGCATCTGCATGTTACAATAATCTAATGTTTATCTATTATTGGCTGGCTTTTCCTGTTTCACCCTGTACTTAAACTTTTTAAAAGAACATCAGATATTTGTAAAAAGGCTAACTACAAGGGGGAATGAGAACATCGTATGCGCTAGAATTAAGATGTTTTTTAGCTTATGTAAAAAATATAGAAGAAACAAATCGACTTTTCAATACAACTACGAACTTTGCAGTACCTTATTTAGTATTCTACAAATACTTGGGTGCAATATACTAAGCCGTTTTTGTTGCAGGCTGGCAAGAG